GTGGGAGAGAGAGAGAGAAGGAGGGAAGGAGGGGGACAGAGAGAGAGACAGAAAGAAGGACAGAAGAAAGGAGGGAGTGAAGGAGGGAGAGGGGGGAGAGAGAGAGAGAAGGAGGGAAGGAGGGGGACAGAGAGAGAGACAGAAAGAAGGACAGAAGAAAGGAGGGAGTGAAGGAGGGAGAGGGGGGAGAGAGAGAGAGAAGGAGGGAGGGAGAGAGAGAGAGAGAAGGAGGGATGGAGAGGGAGAGGCAAATGTATAGATAACCAAAGCGAGAACACTAAATTGTAACCACCTCCCTGTAGTGAGAAAGGAAAGTTGCTTTTTCTAATGACCTGGTTTTGCAAACTCGAAGATTCGCTCTGGAGTGGAGTAGGGGGGGTGGGGTGGACATTGTACATGATCTGTTTGTAAAGAAACATCCATTTCCCCCCCCTCCTCCTCCTCCTCCTCCCCTCCCCTCCTCCTTCCCCTCTTTGCCCTTCAAAATATAAATACTGAATTTCTCAGTAAGGGGTGACATTTGTTGTTTCTGAAATTAACAGCGTACAAGAGAACCGGGAGAGAGAGGGAGATGGTGGATTTATTACAGCATTGAAAGCTCCTGTTTTCATTTCTTTCCTGTTGATCAGTCCAAATCTCGGGGAGAAAAAGGAATAGGGGGGGGGGGATTTGAGGATGAGAGATCAGCGTTTTTGGAGATCCCGAAGGACACGGTTGTTCGGATGGGCTCTTTTGGACCAGCCTCGCTTTAATTTCACCTCTCCTTCCCATGAACCCCAAAGTAATCCGTGTGTCTCCTCCTTGCCTTCGTAAATAACCTACAAGAGAGAGGGCCCCCTGCATCGATCAGTCAATCAATCAGAACACAACAAAATAACAGAGTTGGAAGGGGCCTTGTAGGTCATCTAGTCAAACCCTCCCAACTGGTCCAAGCAGCAGAGCCTACACCATTTTTGACAGATGGCAGTCCAATCTCTTCTTGAAAGCTTCCATTGATGAAGCTTCCACTACTTCTGAAGGCAACTCCTGCTCCACTGCTTGAATCTTCTTAATTTGGTTCTACCCTACCATGCTATGATTTGCAAACCATAACATTAGTATCCTACCTGATATGCAAGTAAGAGAGATGTGGCTTCCTTTCCTTTCCTCCTTTCCTTTCCTTTCCTNGAAAGCCTGCAGCCCCTTCTTTATGTATTTTTTTTCTAAAAAGAATTAATACGGGTAATCTTACAAAGCTAAGCATTTTAAAATATTGAAGCAGAAGGTCAAATACATCAAATTTGGGGAGAGGGGGGGGTGATTTGAACCCTGATTTATCTGCAAAACATTTCTGCTTTTACACACACACACACACACACACACACACATCCAAAATATTTTTCTCCGTCTTAAACTATAACCCAGTTTGAGGATGATCATCTTTCACTAGTTCGTCTTCCTTCCTTCCTATTTGATTGTTGTTTAATGGAATCCTTCAACAATGTATGAATTTAGGGGGAATGTATAGGGAAAGGGGGGGGGGTTTCTTGTAAGGGCCTAAATGTAAGATTCATGGGTTGGAGGATGAGAATTACACAAGCGTTTTTTTGCTCTAACGTAAAACTCTGTAATCCGTTTCAGATGTTCCAGTTTGATTTTCAAAAAAAAGAAAGAAAAAAAGGAAGCACATTTGAGCCAAATACAGTTTGTCTAAGAAAAAAAAATTGCAGTGCTATGTTATTTTGGAAGACAAATTGTGTATCCTTAGTAGTTTGGAACACAGAGAGAGAAAGAGAGAGAGCGCGGGAGGGAGGGAGAAAGAGAGAGAGAAGGAAGGCGGAGGGAGTGAAGGTGGGAGAGAGAGAGAGAGAAGGAGGGAAGGAGGGGACATAGAGAGAGAGAGAGAGAGAGAGAGAGAGGGAAGGAAGGAGGGAGGGAGTGAAGGAGGGAGAGGGGGGAGAGAGAAAGAAAAGGAGGGGGAGTGAAGGGGGGAGAGAGAGAGAGAGAAGGAGGGAAGGAGGGGGACAGAGAGAGAGAGACAGAAAGAGGGACAGAAGGAAGGAGGGAGTGGAGGGAGAGGGGAGAGAGAGAGAGAAGGAGGGAGGGAGTGAAGGTGGGAGAGAGAGAGAGGGAAGGAGGGGGACAGAGAGAGAGACAGAAAGAGAGGGAAGGAAGGAGGGAGTGAAGGAGGGAGAGGGGNTCAAACAATTTTTGAAACCCACCACTGATCAAAACCAACAACGTTGTTCTTGCAGCGGAGTTAGCTCATCTGATCTTTTAAGGAAGGGAAAATAACAAGAAGATTAGCCCCTCGTAATTCCTTATTAAGCTGAAAGGAAAACAATGGGGTTGGCTTCTTCTCCAGGAGGGAGCAGCTGATTTTTGTAACGCCTCCCCCCCACCCTTGTGTAAGTCTGATTCAGTACATTATCTAGGAAATCACCGGAAACAATGACTTCTGAGTGATAATCCGCCCTGAAATCTCAGCAATGTTTTGCACTTCATTCTTTAGAATGAGATTCTGGAGCCGTTTCACCTTCCTGGAGCACATCAATGTGCTCTGCAAACATGGCAGAGTCCGTGCCACAGAGAAGTCTATGCAGGTGAGTCCCCTTCGGGGGAAAAGGGCAGCATATAAATGTAACAAATTGAATTTTGACAAAGTGTGGCTAACTGGAAGTGTATCTGCTCCAGATTGCCTGCTTCTTCATCCAGATTTAACAGATTAGCAGAGTAGGAAGGGACCTTGTAGGTCATCTAGTCCAACCCCCTGCCCAAGCACCATTTCTGACAGGTGGCAGTCCAGTCTCTTCTTGAAAGCCTCCAGGGATGAGGCTCCCACAACTTCTGAAGGCAACTTCTGTTCCCTTGGTTGATTGTTCTCGCTGTCAGAAAATTCCCCCTTAATTCCAGGTTTGAAGACGTTTCGCTTCTCATCCAAGAAGCTTCTTCAGCTCTGGAGAAGCTGAAGAAGCTTCGTGGATGAGAAGTGAAATGTCTTCAAAAAACCCCAGAAAGTCCAAATGCCTCTTGAAAAAGCACCTTTGGGACAACCAGGACCAGGGTGACAGAGAATCTCTCCAGACTTTTAAGCAGCATAAGTTTGGGTGATGAGATGGAGCTGATATTTTTTTTAAAATGTTTATACCAATCAGAATAACAGAATGACCTTCGAGGTCTTCTAGTCCAGCCCCCTCCTCAAGCAGGAGACCCTAAATCATTTCGGACGAACGCCTGTCCAGTCTCTTCTTAAAAACCTCCAGTGATGGAGAATCTACAACTTCTGGTGGCAAGCTGTTCCACTGGCTAAACTATTCACTATCCCCTTTCCATTGGGAAATGAAGATGACTCTTCCAACCGGTAGTGTTTTAGAGATCCCACAGAATGTCATCAAATATAAAAATTGTTTTTTTTCTGCCTGCTGATGGCCAGACACATGTGATTTGCAAAGGCCAAATTTTATTACACGGTGCCTCCATAATCCGTCTACTCCTTTCCTGCAAGCTCCCTTATTAATTATACTAATTATAAACCTGCATTTCACAGTTCCTTCTTCTTTCGGCGTTCTGAAATTTATTGAAAATTTCTATGCACGCATACCCCACACATTCTGAGCAGGGGGATATTTTCAGTTTGACTGATGTGAATTCTCCCGTCGTGTTCGGCTTTTGCGTCAGCTATTCGGGGTTTTTTTTTTTTACGCTTTTGTTTTTAAATTTGCTGCGATTCCAATTGCTTTCCTTTCTAATTATTGTGCATTGTCTGGCTTTTAATTGTCGCAGTGTTCTTTTAATTCTATAGGCTGCTTCCCAAGTCCCAAGGAAATGAAAAGCAAGGTAAACATAATAAATCTAAATCCAAATGTTTGTCATGCTTTTTGTTCTTTTTCTTTCATTCTTTTTAAAAAAAAAAACATTTCTTGGCTCTTTTAAAAAAATGCTTTTGGAGGTTGATAGTCATATCGGGCAGGGAAATTTTGATAAGGATGGAGAGATCTTTAAGAATAACTCAGTTTCATTGCTGCTCTGCTGGGACAATTTTCCTTAGAATAGAGAAACAATTTAAAAAAAAAGCCTCCAGAGCAACTTTCTATCTCTGCTTCAGTTGGGATGTTCTCCAGATCCCCATTCAACTATATCATTATATATTACAATTTACTATAAAGGGAAAATGGAAACAAGACAGGAGGACCATGGATGGAAACCAGAAGGATGTCTACAGAGATTCTTAGTCATCCAGGCCACGGTGGTCCCAAAGAGGCTTTTTCAAGAGGCAACTGGACTTCCTTGTTTTTCTCTGAAGACATTTCACTTCTCATCCAAGAAGCTTCTTCAGCTCTGACTAGGATGGTGGGGAATGGAAGGATTTATACTCCTTGCAGACAGAGCTGGTCGTTTGCATCCTTTTAGAGAGTCGTTGAGGCCACTTGGAGATTTATCTGCAACAGTTCCCAGAAGGTTCCACAGACATTTGTGCTACTCAGGTGACTCCGAGGACACAGATAAGTGAGGGGGGGGGCATTGGTGGGGGCCACCTGTATTTTTTTCCCCAAGGCTGGCCCCGTAAATTGTGCATCTAAGCACACAGCTCCACCAGAGTGCCAGAGCTGTAAGCTAAAACTAGAACTGTAAGCTGCAAAATAATTGCTCGTCTGTGGGCATGCATGGATGATAAAATAAAATATAATAAAATCAAAGGCTCAGCAAAGATTGGAAATATATCTATCTATCTATCTATCTATCTATCATCTATCTATCTATCTATCTATCTATCA